TGAATTTGTATAATCCTAAGAAGCACATGGGAGACCATAAAGGCATCCTAGAAGTGGAAGGAAGAGAAGGTCGGGCAGAAAATAGCACAGGTGTAAATTTGACCCCCCCCCCCCCCCCTTTCTCCTGCATGATGTGCTCCGAGGGTGCCTGGTGGCGAGGGCGGCTTGTCTTCAAAGTGGGCCAGAGTGAGCAGCATGTGCGACCTGATAACGCCGGGGAACTGAGGGGGTTGTGTTTACAAACTTAGCTTGCAGAATTCCTCGGCGATGCTGCAAGCTCTGCTGAATTCTTCCATTGGTTACCTAACGTCACAAGTTAAGCCTCACATAATTCGTAAACTCGCTGAGTAGAAGGATATCTGCAAGCCTTGAGAATTCATGAATGAAATGAAATACTCCGTGAAAATGAAAGAGACAGAGAAAATGTAGAGCGTTGTGGACAAATTTCATCAGAACAGATCACAAACAGCTGGCGGACCAACTGAAAGAATACAATTTAAAATTAACAAATTAAAAGTGCATTAGAACTGAAAGCTGTCATAGAGTTCATTTAAGAACGACAGATAAAGAAATTCAACACATTAACACGATGAGATAGAATATGCGTAGAGCCAAACAACCAAACAAGATGCGATGCAGTCAATTCCACCCCACGCCTGCCGCTGTTACAGATGTATTTTTTCCTGTCATTAGCACGCTGGGTATATGGTGGTAAATCCATATATTCACAGACCACACAGTATTCGATGGATGGCTGGTGATGCCAACAACATAACTGCAAAAGATACTTCTTGCTGCCGACTTTATCAGTCAAGAAGCCCCAAGCTGTTTAAAAAAAAAAAAAAAAACTTCCCCAGTGTCGATTCGAACCCCAAATCTTCGGGCCGACAAGCCAGCGTCTAGCCACTGTGCTATCACAGTCCCATTTTCTGTTAGGCCCAGGTAATCGATCAGTTTGCCCCTTCCATGATGCTACCTAAAGGTTGGCCACACCGTCTTGAGATGTAACAATTTAAATATAGACGACAGGCCAACAAGGCAGATTGCAGATAGTCAGTTATAATGAGGGCCCCTGCAACAGAGACGCCAGCCATGTGCAGCCTGCAGTCTTGTGTGGGCGTGAACAGTACAACCCGGGTGAATTTCCCGGTGTCCATTTAAGACCGTCTGGAGCTGGCAACCATAGTTCATATAAGAGAGAGAGAGTGTGAGAGAGAGAGAGAGAGAGAGTGTGTGTGAGAGTGAGGGAGAGAGAGTGGGAGAGTAAGACACAGAGTAAGAGAGAGTAAGACAGAGAGTGAGAGAGATTAGGACACAGAGTGAGAGAGAGAGAGAGAGAGTAAGACACAGAGTGAGAGAGAGAGTAAGACACACAGTGAGAGAGAGAGAGACAGTAAGACACAGAGAGAGAGAGAGAGAGAGAGAGAGACAAAACCCCACCTATAGAACTCATGATGCTATAGTGCAATGGCTCTCAACCTTCCTAATGCAGCGACCCTTGAATACAGCTCCTCATGTTGTGGCGACCCCCAAAAATACAATTACTTTCGTTGCTACTTCATAACTTCAATGAATATTTGTTTTGCGATTGTCTCTGGCGACCCTTATGAGAGGGTCGTTCGACCCATAGGTTGAGAACCGCTGCTATAGTGCGTTACAAAAGTAGTGTCCGCACATTTTCAAAATATCTAAAAGAAAATTAATGTACAGGTCAAAACGAATTTGTGCACGTGATTTCCCAAATTCTTATGATTTCATAATTTTCTGCAGGCCTACGAAACACGTGCAATTTGATGTTTGTAAAAGTTCCCGTTACTTAGTTTAACTGTAAGCATTCTGCCTGTTTGCTCTGAATCAGTGTTGTAAAATCACCCGCTTCAACAACAAAAAATGTTCAGCCATAACAAGATATTTCCACGTCCATTTTGTACAGACAGACATGAAAGTAAGGCTGATGGATTGCTGGCAAGAACTTGGAATGACAGAACACATTTGGGCTGGGTAGAGCAATAATGAAACAAAGGAGCTGAACTCAACTGTGCAGCTAATGTTCCTGCAGCCATGATGATGAGGGTTAGGAGATTTTTTTTTCAAACGATAATGCTGAAAAACATTGGAAAACGGTGGGGGGTAAAATACATATGTGTATGGATTCTCAGACTAAATAACACACACTTATGTATAGATTCTCAGACTAAATAACACCCACATGTGTATAGATTTCAGACTAAATAACACCCATTTGTGTAAAGATTTTCAGACTAAATAACGCCCATATGTGTATAGATTATGAGACTAAATTACGTCCATATGTGTATAGATTATCAGAGTAAATAACGCCCATGTGTGTATAGATTATCAGACTAAATAACACCTATGTGTGTATAGATTATCAGACTAAATAACGCCCATATGTGTATAGATTATCAGACTAAATAACGCCCATATGTGTATAGAGTGGACTTTGTTCAGAAAGTGGATGCCAGCTGTTCACACACAAACTGAAAACTAAAATGAAAGACTCAGGAGTTAAGATCAGCACAGCCAAAAGCGACAGACATACAGAGTATAAAAAAAGACTTATCAATCAACAAAGAACTGACACTATTAGTCATATGATGCTATGGTTCATACTGAGAGAAGAAGCTGAGCACCTATGGACATGTCCGGAGTGCAATGATCACATCCTAACTAACTAGGGTTCATTATCATCATGTAGCAGGCCCTTTGCAGAATGTTACTCTTCTTATTACAGTCTACTTGAAAGAAACTCTGCCTCTCATTAGCTGTCACAGCTTGAGCTTTGAATTTTATATTAGCATTATAATATGTCTTCAAATCTAGGCTTCTCTCTACTTCTGTAAATACCTGATAAATACAACATAAAATGTGACTAGAAGCTCAATGGAGGGTGTGAAAAAGGCATACACAAATACAACCGTACGTCTGGACCAATGTGAATACACACAAACCAAACGTTCTGAACAAAGTGCACAAATACAACCAAACATTTTTACTAAAGTGCACAAATACAACAGAATGTTTTGACCAAAGTGCACTAATATAGCCGAACATTCCGACCAAAGTGCACAACTACAACAGAATGTTTTAGTTTTAACCAAAGTGCACTAAAATAGGCGAACATTCCGACCAAAGTGCACAAATACAACTGAATGTTTTGACCATAGTACACAAATACTTTGGTCGAAACGTTCATCTGTATATGTGCTTTTCCATTCCTTATGTTGAGTTTTCTAGTCACAATTTATGTTGTATTTAGCAACTCCTTATAGAAGTACAGGAGAGAAGTAGAGACTTAAGAACATATTTGAGTGACAACATAAAATTCATAGCTGGACTGTCTATTTGTAAAAATGACTGCCCACATTAGAAAAAGACAATCACACATTTAAAATTCTTTCCTGAGATGGGGAAAACTGAAGTATGCTGTGGCTATGGGATAGTGAAGGACATTTTGTGTGATTTTAAATGACCCCTTGTTAAAGTTAAACCAGTCATAGTGTGTATTACTTCCTGAAACTAATGAAAGTAAACCTTCCAAAAGTCTACCAACACGGTTTCATGATGAAAATACATATTGTGAAGAAGAAAAACAACTACCCATAATATTCTTCTTTAGTGAAACAAATATTTCCAAAACGTCATGGATATTATAAGTTGCATGCAAAAAAATCGCTGCGATCTAACAGGCAGTTTTCTAGAAAATGGTTTGCATGTGTGTTTATCTGTTCTTCTTCTCTTCTTCTTTTACCGCTGTGGGTGTCGAGGGAGATATAAGGTTCTGTTTCTAGCTCTTCTGGCTGCCTCGACCATAGGCACATCGTGCTGTTGTAGAGTTTCTCTGATGTTATCCTTCCATCTGTTGTTGATTGAACTAAATGCAAATTTCGATCCTCACATTTAATGCCTGAAAAATATCTAAAACTATTAAATTAAATAAGGTCTACAGATATAACTATGAGTGCATGATATATTTTACATATTATTTCTTGATTTTTTTTTTTAATGAAAAGGGGACAGTTGTGCTGTGGGGTAGTGTTTAAAGTTCTGACAGAACACACCTAAAATAGGATTGTCGGTAAAAAAAGGGACGCATGGTCACTTTAAGACACAACAGACTGCACAATTTATATTTTATTTTTTGGCAGTATTTTGTTGTATCTGTCTGGGTTATGCACACTCTGTTCACATTACAACGGATACAAACTTATTTGGTCAACTTAAGAAGACGACTTTTAAAAGTTCTGGTTGGTTAGGTAATAATTTCCATTATATAAAAAAATGGATACAAAAACTGGGTACATGTAACGTTAATCTCCCCACGCTCCGCCCGTATACACACCAGCTCACTTCTGATTGGTAGTTCTTGAACCTGTCGCCTTGGCACAAGGTTACGGGGGTGTTCTGCAATGCCGCTGATATCACATGTTGTATATTTCGGAATGCCAGCGCTTTAACACTCCAAAAACATGGAGAAACTGACCCTAAACAACCCCCTTAGAGAGTGCTGCAACCTATGTCACAGACATTCTCATTCTTGGAATGCGCAGAAAGCAAATAACTGAGCGGGACAAACCCGTAACCTTCATGAAATTCGACCGGACCAACAAACTTGTGAATGAAAATTGACCTAGTCTATTTGGGGAGATGTTACTCTAACCCCAAAACTGTAGTTAAACAGTATATTTCTGACAAAATTACTATTATGACTTATCTTACTACTTCATTGTTAAGACTCTTTTTTTTTTAATCAGTCACTGACATTCAACTGAACTGAACTACAAACAAAATAACCTTATAAAACGCAGTATAAAAGAAGCTGTGGATAATAATAGATCGGCCTTAATTTTTATCAGCAGAGGCGGGATCACAAAGATAGACAACACGCTAGGTGTAGGCAGGTTAATTAACAAGAACAGATTACCAATCCTTCCTACATGATAATGATAGCTTTTTTTATATTGTGAAACTTAACTTACCTGACTCATAGTGATTTATCTGTGTTATGAATCTTGCGAAGAATATTCACAGTAATCCTACGGAAGTTTAGCACAGCTCCATTGTCAAAGTTTGTAAGTCCGTAAAACAGATGTCCCACACACCATTATAACCGCGAGGAAAGGTTATCCAACAGTCGTGCCCGAAGCTCCTTGCCTAATATCAACTGCGGGTTGTTAACAAATCTTAGCAACTATTTAATCTAGCGCGGTTAAAAGTAAAGACACCAACTTCTTGAGGGGTCGATCAAACTCAAACAATTAGTATTCAAGTAAACGAGCAGGATAGTAAACTTTCAAAACTGGGAAACTAACAATGGTCGTAAAAGTAATATAACCAAGTTATAGTTGCACTATTTTACTATAACTTCATCTCGTTACTGAAAATCACCTAACATAACATAAATATAAGACATAAAATGGGGTTGAAACGGCCGTGACAAGGACTTAAAGTCGCCTTGCCGTGTTGTCAGACACACAACCGGCCCAGATCTGTGGCCGACATGAACACATTGCTAGCACCTTGTCCCGGATGGGGGACCAATCAGAGAGCGCTATTTTCACGTCTGCTAGCAATCTGGCCAATCAGATGATCGCTATTTATAGATATTTCACGTTGTTGGATCTGCCTGGTTCCCGCCACACGTAAGCCGACACACAACTTAACTCCTCGGGTTCCTACTGGTTATTATAACTCTAACCAGTCTTCTCCCCCCCCCCCCACTCCCATTGTCTTTTATCATCCAACAGAACATTGAACCATAATCAGTTCAGGTCAAGCCATCCCACCCCCCCCGCCATCATATGCCATTTTTGTCTAGAAGAAAAAAAAAAAAAAAAGAAAGACTAGTCATGCACGTGATGTTCATAAAAATGTCACCTTTTTTTTGGATGTCGTCCCTGTGTGGGTTTCTGGGTCCCCATTTTGGGAGGGAAACAATAAACCCACTGCTACTCTAACAAGCATGTCGCACAAGTCGACTAACTGAGGTTTTTTTTCATTTGTAGTCGGAATGCAGCTGCCTGATAGACGAGGAATCATCAGTATGCCTACAGATAAGCCTGATCTGTAAAACGGATATGCACACGGAACTTAAGTTCTGGATCAGACTATAGTTCAGAAGTGGACGAACATCCAGAACTTTCCACTGGAGTTTACAGCCAATGAAGAAGAAGAAGAAGAAGAAGAAGAAGAAGAAGAAGAAGAAGAGAAGAAGAAGAAGAAGAAGAAGAAGAAGAAGAAGAACTGACTAAGTTTAGGTTAGTTTAACCACTTCTGTCAAATTGTCTCGGTCGAACACTTTTACACCTGTCTATTTATTTCTTTTAAGCTAAGTTAACGTAATAAATGCTCGGGACTGAAAGGGTTACCTCCTTTAGCTCTTGCTTCGGGTTCACTCTGTAACCAGTCCTGTTCCTCTGATTTTGGGACGTGGGTTCTAAACCTTTGTTGCATTAGAGCTATTTATAAATATGTCGCACTTAAAAAAAAAATCTCTAATTGTTCCACACGCAGGCAGACATATTTACAACTCTTTAATGCTCCCGCCAGTCCGTTTAGAGGCTAGTTTTTCTTCCTAGAGTTCGCCAGCAGAAAGTTCTGCTTGTGATCCACTTCTGGACTTGAGAAAGTTTACCCCCACCCACCCCCAACCCCTCCCAATTGGGACCTGGAACTCTCACGTGGAAAGTTCTGGTTTGCTCGTCCAAATCTTCTACCAGAACTTGAGTTTGGCGTGCATAACCGTTTTACGGATCTTGATTATTTACATAAGGTCTAATACGTCCACAGACTTGGACAGGGGTCATTAAGTTGTTGCTTTTTTTTTTTTTTTTAACTTTTTAGGGAGGTAATGGTTCTACTCCCTCACCTAAATGAGGTCTGGAACCCATACGATGAAGTGTAACTCTGAAACCAGGGTTATCTATATGTTTTAGATCCCCCAACCTGACCATCCAGTCCAAAAAGCAGACATTTCCGTAACGTCTCCTCAAGCTGCCGCGAAACAATTTTCCGTGACAAAGACATTTCCATAGGCGACTGGGTCGCCTGTTGGCTGGCCCGTAGACTCTGTCGCCGGTCGCAACAGTAATTTGGTCTGTCTCATTTGATCAACAATACATGAGTCCTTTTCAGAGCTTCTTGGTGGCGTGCCATGCTACGTGATTTTATATGGCTCACATAACCTAGTCACAATTATAGTCTAAAGCTCTCCCTTCGGAGACGCTAGTTGATCGTGACAATTATTTCCTCAGCAAAGCACCTACCTACCTACCTGCCTGTCCACCTACCTTACCTGCCACACCTACCTTCCTGCCCACCTACCTTCCTGCCCACCTACCTACCTACCTGCCTGTCCACCTACCTACCTACCTGCCAGCCAGCCTGCCTGCCTGCCTGCCAGCCTACCTACCTGCCTGCCTGCCAGCCTGCCTGCCTGCCTGCCAGCCTACCTGCCTGCTTGCCAGCCTACCTGCCTGTCCACCTGCCTGCCTGCCTGCCAGCCTACCTGCCGTTGGCCTGGCGCCTTAAAGCTATTTGGTTTGTTTCACGCAAAAGTTGTTCGGTTCGCCTGTAGGGAGATCTTCGGGGATCGTCACTGGAAATAGGGAGATCATGTTTTGTGTGACACTCTTGGCGAGCGATTAGCTATTGTGTGGAGAGATCATTATTATCATCATCAAATGCCATGCCAGCTGGCGTAGGCGTTCACGCATCTCCACAGATCTCGGTCTTTTGGTGTTCTGGATCTATTCCACTGATGATATTCCTCCATGTCCACTGTCTTAAGCCATCCACCATCGTTATCTTGGTCTGCCTCTGCCTCTTCTTCCAGTGATTTTTCCAGTCCTCGCGATATTTTTCAGTGCTCCTTTTCTCATCAAGTAACCAAAGAACTTTGTGTGTCTGCTTCTCTTTGTTGTATGTAATTTTGTAAATACTTTCACTAGCCATTTCCAGGCAATCATTGTTAGTTATTCTGTCAATCCAAAGTATCGTCAACATTCTTCTCAAAAAACCCTAACTCCATTTGCCTCCAAACTCTTCTTAATTTGTTTGCGCACATTCCAAGATGCACTGCCATACAACAGAACAGGCTTGATGTAACATTTCAGTTCTCGTTTTCTGATACCCTGGGAGTATCCGTAACGAAGTGGTCAAACCGTTTGCTTCGCGCACTTGAGGTCGCGGGTTAGCTCCACGGCTGCGCCCTTCAGCTTACGAGTGAAATTTGTATGAGTTCCAATGAATCGAACCTCTTGACTTGATATTTCACTTTATCCCTAGACTATCTTATTTTAACATTGTTTCCTAACATTATAATAATATAATTAATTTAGTATTTAGCCAGAATTGGCAACCATGAACCTCTTTCAACTGCAGTTAAAAGACGGAAAATGCAATAGTACGGACAAGTAATAAGATCCACCATGTTAATGACACAATGTTAGTAAGATTGTCTAATTATTCATATACAGTTTCTATCACAATAAAAACCCAAATATGAAAGCAAAATATGAAACAGTACACATTACATATAGGTCATTTAAATAATTAAGCTATAGATAAATACAAAATAACACATATATGTACTCTGATAAATCCGTTTATACTATATATCCAAGTTACAACCTTGAGGGATGAACATAATATTGTTGAAAAATTTCTACTATTACATGTAATAAGATCTAACTGCCTCTCAACAAAAAAAAACAGTACTGTACGGCTCACTAGAGAAAAAGAGGAGAAAAGGTCGACCCAGAAAGATCTGCTTACAAAACCTGACTGACTGGACAGACCTTAGACATGCAATAATGAAATCCATCGCATTTGACCGCCAAAGATGGAGGAAGCTGATGAGAAAGTCAACAGCGACACGTAGTGTTACATGATGATGATGAAGCTTTAATCTCTATCGCTCCTTTGAGAAAATCGGCCTGGTTCCTCCACCCACACGAAATTAGACAACTTTTCAACTCAACTTATTCGTCTCCTCTAGTCATTAACTCTGAAACAATCCCCCTGTAACTTCACGATAAGTTGATAATCAAATTTTTGTGTATGCACGTCTGGTGAAAGCTGCACAAAAAAATGGCATTAATTTTGTTTGTGGCTTACTGAATGACTTTGTAACATTAATTCGGCACAACACAACTAAAAGGTTGCCGACCCTTGGGCTGGGACACCTAATTAACATGTCCCCGAATTTTCCCGCTTCACAAGCATATTAGAATCGGCATGTGGGCAGTCGAGTGAGAGGCAGATTGAGGAAGAAATACGCTGACGACGTTAAGGAAGCCATTCGTTAATATGGCCCCCCCATCTGCTGCTCATCTGGCACAGAAAAGAAGACAGCGCCACATTTTCTTTTTCGTTCGTACCAAAATTATTATTCAAAACAATACGTGCCCGTTAAGAATTTTAACAATGTCACATCAATATGTGTCTGTGTGTGTGTATATTCATAATGTATTACCTTGCATATTTCGTGAATACACGAAGGCGTTTGGTCTTAAAAAAACCTGGTTGTTGCCGGGGGGCCCTAATAAAACTTAACGGTTGAACGGGGTTTCCGGGACCTCTTCAAGGGTGATCCTCATCCGAATGGTGGCACTTTGGGTCACGGGTGTTTATCGCTTAGTGTGATGTCCTGGTTGGGTTAAAAGTTAGATGGAGTTACTCTCAACAGTTTCTAGAAAAGTGGAAGTACTCACCCCAAAGTGTCTATTAAAGTATCGCTAAAATGAAACATTAAAAGGCGTCTATTCCGCGTACTATTCAGAACCATTAGAAAAAAGAAAAATCAACTCCGAATATAAATAATTATGGTTTTATTTTCCTTGGTGGTTTGTACAATGAACAAAGAGACTATGATTTGTTTGTTTCAGTTATATGAATTCAGGATTTTATAGTTCTGTCGCCTAGCTACTGAACTAAGTGTATGGCGCGACACTGTGAGGTGCTTTTTTTTCTATCTTCCCTTGAGGTA